GGCCCAAGGGAAGTTGCTTTAGTTTGTGCCATCCTGTTACCCTGTGTATCTTGATTTGACATGTTTTTAGATAGACTGGTAACTGTGATACCAAACTAGGAAACCCAGAAGAATTTTCTGCTACTGAAACCTGTCTTTTTACAAAGACTGTCAATATTTGTAAAACAAAACGGAACACTAAACTCTTGAGCCGAAAGGAAAGCTGGACTACGTATTCTAACACGGAGCTCTGTGGAGGGAGCGCGGGCCACCTGGTAACAGAACCCTCACTGTGATCAGGCAAAAGCGAATAAATGTCTATTTATGGCAAACTTCTGTTTGGGGAATGGCTTCATTCTGAGACTGCCTGTCTGGTAAAAATAAATTCTTAATATTCTGTCCTTACGGCTCTAGCTTGCTTTGTTTGCTGTTTGTGTGAGGAGTTAATCTGGCCATTCAACATGAGTGCTTTAGTAAGAGGGCTCTAGAGAAAAGAGCTGGGCCTTTTTCACTTCGGCAGTAGACGCCGACGTGTGTACTGATGGAACACGTTTGGCGTGGCCCACGGAAGGGCACTGAAAATGAGGTCAGGAGCCCGAGGTTGGCCCACCTCCCCAGTCAGTTGGCTGTGTGACTTTAAATTAGGCAGATGATAACTTCCAAGCACATTTTCTTATTTTAAATAACTGCATAACTTGTGGACACGAGATGAAGGATTGTGAAGGCATTTGTAAACTTTAAAGTACTGCAGCGTTTTTTTCATGATTGCTGCTGAAAAGGAAAAGAACACAGGGTTAGAAGCTGTCGTGTCGCAGACTGGGGCCAAGTCTGTGTAAGTTACACTGCTCTGGCTAAAGCCTCCCAGCCGCCAGCTCCGCAAGGAGGTGACGGAGGCAGGGGTGACAGGCCCATGCTCAGGACTCCAGCCGGGCCCCGGGGCTGAAGTGAGAAACCATCTCATGGAGGAGACCAAGGCGGAAATGCCTCTGCCAATAACAACATGAAGACTTCATTAGTGATCCTGTTTGATCAATGAAACCACAAACTTCAAATTGGAATAATTTATTATTCTAACAAAAGTACAAAGTACGGAAAATTAGTGTATTTAAATCATTTCAAAGAGTAGAGAAAGTTTCACACTAGCAGATTTCAGTTCTAGCACCTTTGAAAAGAAATATTCAGAGTTAAGACACGTGGCCACACGGCTTCGGACTGCCCCAGGAATTATCCAGCCGACTTCAGTGTACAATTCATGGAGCAGCGCAATCGTTTTGGTTTTTTTCCTCTACATTTTGAGAGTGCCACAAAAAAAAAAACAAAAACACTTAAACAAGAAAGGTGTTCACTGAATTCCTGGCTGGTGGTAGAAGATGGAGCAGAGATACTGAAACAAGGCGAACGGCCGAGGGCGGGAAGGCGTCAGATGGACAGGCCGAAGGCACTGACGATGCAGTACATGGTCTTGTTCTCCCACCGCACCGTGCAGCTCCCTGTGGAGAGACAGTCAGCACTGACAACTGGGAAAAGGGGAGACTGGACATTCCGGATTCCCATACGAAGATCACAACACTCAAGCACCTGCCTTTTTATGGTACACAAATAAAGAAGGTTGGCAAGTCTTATTTATAAACAATTTTAAAGGCAACTCTGATGAACTTGCATTCAATGACATGGAACATTCAAGCACACACAGTGAACCCTGTGAGAGCCGGGACTTGATGCGACTGCCTGGTTTTTCCAGGTCTCACAAGTTTTCCGCCTTTGACGGGGTACAGTCTTACCACTTTTCTACCGCTCGTTCTAGTGGGAAATATTTTAGTTTTCCTTCTCTGACAGGTTTGTGCCTTACACAAGTTCCAGCTTTTGCAGGTTTTACTCTATCTCATCAAACTGCTTTTATGAGGTAAGTTTCAGCATGGTCCAAGAAGGCTGACACGGAAGTCTTACCGTCAGTGGAGCTGTCCCAGAAGCAAGAGCTTGCCGTGTGCAGCCCAGCTCCGTTCTTCTGCATAATGACACAGGTCACTGAAATCACAACAGACTCCTATCAGAGCGCTCGCCCCACTCAGCGACATAAATGTCCCTTTGCCCACTTGAAGCACGTGTGCATAGATTGCACGGCTGATGTGCATGATGAAAATGACGGGAAGGCTGCCTCATCCCACTGTGCTCACTATGACACAGCTCCCTTTCCTGGTCTGGAATCCCATGCTGTCCTGCTTTGCATGTGCTCTGCAGTGGTGCCAGCCACTCAGCAGGGTGAGTGGATGGAAACCTAACAACTGACTACTTGTCTTAGGAAGGTTCTCTGAGGTAGACACCGCATTGCCATACCCCACTCCTCCTCCACTGCCATCGAGTCAATTCCGACTCATGGCAACCCTGTAGGACAGTAGAATTGCCCCATAGGGTTTCCAAGGCTGTCATCTTTATGCAAGCTGACTGGCACATCTTTCTCCCACGGAGTCACTGGTGGGTTGGAGCTGCCGACCTTTCAGTTAGCAGACAAGCACTTAACCACTGTACCACCAGGGCTCCTAAACTGCCACATTAGCTCTCCTCTTTTCTGGCTCGGACAAGCCTCCAGTCAGTATGTAAAGAACCACTAGCAAAGTCTGTGAGAAACAGAAGTCCATTACCAATGTATTTAAACGGCTTTCCCAGCTTGGTGAGCTGACTCAGGGTTTGCTCGACGACGTTTGTGGTCCACTGATTCACCTTGCTGTGCTGGTAGGCGTTACCGCCGATTGCACTTTCTATAGCCTAGAAAATAGCACAGAGGGGTCGCAGTTGGCAGCCTACCCAAACACCTCCTGGTTAGCAACTGAAATCTATCATCCTAAGAACTGGCGAAATTAAATAAAACGTAAGCAGGTTTTTGATCATGAAGACACCTTTGCAAATGTATCTATTGTTTTAAGTGTTAAAAAAATCCATAATTAAAATCTGTCAAATTTTTTAAACATTTTGACTTAATAACTGGGTTTAATGTTCACTGCTGCTATTACTATCTAGCAATAAACAACACTTTTTTTTCCTGCTGAGGCTAGAAAAGATTGTTACTTTGCCTGTTCTTTTCTTTGCTATTAGATATATGCATTATTGGTTATTTGTGCAACTGTCGATGTACAAACCTATCCAAATAATCATATATTCAAAAAATACTTCTCTACCCAGCATTTTCTGGGAATGACGTTACCATGTGAGGGCATTTACCAGATAACTAAAGAACAACTGGACTTGTTTTAAGTTTGTGATGCTGTGAACTGCTTCTCACAGCTTCCTTCTCTAACCTTTCTAATGTGCTGCCCTGGAAACCAGAAAACCAAGCTTTTATGACAATTATGACCTAAAATAAAAACATTCTGTGAGGGCCAAATTCTATCCTCAGAAATGCAGAGAAAGGCAGCAGTCCTGGTTCTGTGCTGTGTGAGGTAGTGATGGATGGGGGTCTCAGATGGATCTTGGACCTGTCTGATGTGGGGACTCATACCCGGTGACCTTGCTCTTGAGGGACAAACATTAGCTCCAGCCGCACCGTGACTGTCCCTGCAGACCCTCCTAGTAATCCTGGAACTTCCAGTGGTCACATTAAATGCACTGTAGAAGCCTTAGCAGCAAGGATGGTAAGATTTCTTCTCACATACTTTGGACATATTATCAGAAGGGACCAATCCCTGGAGAAGGGCATCATGCTGGGTAAAGCAGAGGGTCAGTGAAAAAGAGGAAGACCCTCAACGAGATGGACTGACACAGTGGCTGCAGCAATGGGCTCAAACACGGCAACGACGGTGCGGATGGCGCAGGAGTCGGCTGTGTTCCCTGCTGTTGTGCACGGGGGGGCTGTGTCGGAACCGACTGGACGGCACCTAAAACCAACCACCACCTGGAAATAACCGAATTCCGTTCTTCTCCCAGCCCTCGTACTTCAGCCCCCTCAGTCAGCCTGAGAGAGAATTTGGTTAGGATCGGGCTGACCTGCTGGCTTCTACTTCCACTGTGTACAGGGGCTGAGGCAAGAATTGGCATTAGAAAGGACTTTTTCAACAGTAGATGAGAAGTGTCTGGTGGAAATGGGGGTGGCAGGAGCAGGAGGAGGTATAAATCATGTTTTTGCTGACAGTCTCTGAGTGCAGGAGAAATGTCTGTCCCATTCCTGCCCACCTCACTTTAGCCCCCTCCCCCAATTCTCAAAACTCCTGGCTCTCCCTCATCCTCAGCCAGGCCCCGCTACCTCCTCAGCCCAGCGCATAGAATGGGGCCCAGCAGAGGGGCCCCTGGTTTAAGGGACCACGTTCCTGCTAGGTCTGGCTGTCATCAGAGAAGAGAGTAGATGCTTATACAAAAGTTTAAAAGTGGTGAGACATCGGACCTTCCCACATTCATCCACAGCTTTTATTCTTGATAGCGAAACCTCGAAGGCTGGCAGCCCTCCTCCAATTCTAGACCATCACAGACTGACTACTGCCCAATACTTAAAGCGGTCTGAGTACAGAACTAACCTATTACAGGGACAAAAAAAGCCCTGTGAGGCCAGTGGTAGAGGTTAAAGGAACTCTGCAATGCTACTTCACACTTTCAGGTGGATTTACAATGTGTACTTTCAATTGTACCTGTAGCCAGGTAACCAAGTCAAACCAAAGCAGAAAACAAGGAGGCCTTGCTAGACTTTATAACCCAGAGACCCTACTTCTCACAAAAAAAAAAAAAAAAAAACCAAACCTGCTGCCATCAAGTCGATTCTGACTCACAGCAACCATACAGGGCAGAGCAGAGCTGCGCCACAGGGTTTCCAAGGTTGTAACCCACCTCCTTCTCACCGTTCTAGCTTAATTCACCCATCTTCCTGCTCCATTGTGTGCCACATGAAACACCAGTTAGAAAAACAATGAAAGCTAACTGGTACAAACCCTGCAAAGCAACCAGCTGAGCCTGATGTGGAATGATGTATACAGTAAAACAAAATCATTTTGCTTTCAGACACTATTCACAAAAACAGGTTGTGATTCCTTATCACTCTAGCATTGGAGTCAATATTTTGCATTAATAATCATTTGCACTGGAGTCAATTCTGAACTACCAAGGAGCCTCAGATTGTACTGTTAAACTCAGATCATCTAATGACTTTCAGTGATGGCATCAATGTCTGTGCTCAGTCTGGAAGGGAAGCTGGCCAGGAAAACCATTCTGGCTTCCTTCTTGCCCCTGGCTCCCCAAGCTCTCTGCACTCCAGCCATCCTCAAATACACCACGTGTACTCCTACCACAGGGCCTTTGCGCATGCTATCCACTGGCTGGACTGTCTGTCCTCCTCTTTGTACTGAGTTAACCCTACTCCTACTCCTTGTGTGGATTTCACCTCTGACCAGTCCCTGAACTCACTAGGTGGGTCAAATCCCCCATAATGTTCTCACAGCACCAGGTGCTGTGGCCCTTAGCACACGGGAAATGCAGTGGCACATGTTCCAGTGTGATTTTTGATGTCTGCCTCTGTGCCCCTACTGTAAGCTCCTCAAGGGCCGGGACCTCGTCTGCTTGCCCACCAGTCAGTCCAGTGCTGGCTCCCTCAATAGAGGTATTTTGAATGAAAGACTGAATAACAAATGTCCCCTTTGGTCTCCCACCCTCCTCATCTAAAGAAGGTAGCTGTGACCAATAATAGTAACGTGGGGAGTTTAGGACATAAGAAAAAGAACCAAAGAAGCTCCAAGTGGGATCATCAGCTCCTGAATAACTGTAAATTGTTTTTTTATACTCACTCTTTATTAAACACTAGACACACTTATTTCTATATCAGGGGTCTTCACACTACCAGGTTATAAAAGCAAGCCTTAGTAACATTCAGTAATAATGCCACATATATAAAACTTCCCGTCTAGTTTAAAATATATAATTTACATAATATGGGAGTAATTTGTATCTAGATACTCAGTGAAATAAATAACTGTTATTTGAAATGCCAAAACACACAGGCTCAGTTGAAACAATTCCAAGACAGTATTTAAAACGTATTATTTTCACTCATAGAAGCCATTAATCAAACATAGCATGTAAGCATTTCTCCTCTTACCTCTTTGACAATGTTGCTCACTTCATCAACAACAAACGCAGTCTGTAAACAAAAAAATTATGTTAAATTTTATGCGTTTAAAAGAGCTGTTCCCTGACATTGATTAATGCAAATTTGGGCAGCAAACGTAATTTAGAAATGAAGACTTTAGACATCACCTAACCAGACTGTTCCTTTTACGGATGAACACGTCACAGGGAGACCCAGAAGCACTAGATGCTCTCTGAACGTAAGAGCTGTGAGTGGGGGCCGAGGGATAGACTACATGGCAAAACTATAGGGGTTTTGCGTGTTTGTATTTTAATCATGCCACAATCCAAAAGACTGACTTCACTTTGAAGTAGAATACAATCTCCATCCATTTCACCCGGCTGTTGAGATGACTTTGTATAAGTGAGTGGAAGCAGGTGAAGCAAGTCATTGTAAAGATGTAATCCACTCTTCCCTGATGGAAACTGAGTAGGACGCCCAAAACTTGAGTTTTTGTTACTGCTGCAAAAGACCTCTTTAAAGTGTTAAAAAGCAAAGATGTCACCTTGAGGACTCAGGTGTGCCTGAACCAAGCCATGGTATTTTCAATCGCCTCATATTCATGTGAAAGCTAGTCAATGAATAAGGAAGACCAGAGAAGAATCAATGCCTTTGAATTATAGTGTTGGTGAAGAATACTGAATATACCATGGACTGCCAGAAGAATGAATAAATCTGTCTTGGAAGTACAGCCAGAATGCTCCTTAGAAGCGAGGACGGTGAGACTTTGTCTCACGTACTTTGGACATGTTGTCAGGAGGGACCAGTCCTTGGAGAAGGACATCATGCTTGGGGAAGCAGAGGGTCAGCAAAACAGAGGAAGACCCTCAACGAGATGGAGTGACACAGTGGCCACAATGATGGGCTCAAGCACAGCAACAACTGTGAGGATGGTGCAGGACCGGGTAGCGTTTCGTCCTGTTGTACGTAGGGTTGCTATGAGTCAGAACCAACTTGAAGGCACCTAACAATAACAAATATTTTTTGTTACAAAATAATGTATTATAAATTTAAGCTACTTGAGGTATAAGAAGGAACTCTACAAATTTCAGAGATAATTTTCTTTATTTAGAAAGGATTAAGTACACAGGCAGAAGCTGGAGTGCCTGGGTTAGAAATCTGACTTAGCCACTTATTAACTGAATGACCTTGGATAAGTTACTAGACCACTTGTGTGTGTATATCCTTATTTGTAAAATGGGGGCAATAATAGCTCCTATTATTAGCAGGCTGGAGCCCTGGTGGCGCAATGGTTAAGAGCTATGACTGCTAACCAAAAGGTTAGTAGTTCGAATCCACCAGCTGCTCCTTGGAAACCCTATGGGACAGCTCTGCCCTGTCCACTGGGGCCGCTATGAGTCAGAATCGACTCAATGGCAACGGGTTTGGTTTGGTTTGCTTTGGTTTGGTTTATTAGCAGGCTAGGGTCAGCAAAAAAGAAGACCGTCGACGAGATGGATTGACACAGTAATAATATTAGTGGTAAAATTGACAATGGCGACACTACTTCCTGATCATTATTTTTCTGCCTCGGTGCCGTCCTACAGCCCCGTGCAGCGCACGCAGGTCTTGGTCAGCGTGTCAGAATGAGCTGCGAGGTAGCTGCCAGTGGTATGCTATGCCCAGAGTTCATAAATGGTGTTCTTTTTCCTCTTCTTTTTTACATACAGTAAATCTGAACCGGTGCAAGGTCATTCTGAAAATAACATCACTCTCTGTCACTTGCCTGCCAAGATGCTTCTTTACATGCGAAAAGCAGTTGGAGGTTGTGGCCGAGTCCCAGGGAATGGCACTCTGAACGTGCCATGGGACAGTGCGGCACCCAGGGCACTCGGCCGATGTGTATCTGGGAGAATAAAGGCACTGAGTTTTCCTCCCTGCCAGGCGATGCACCACCATGGGCACTGACCTCCCAGAAGTTACCCGAGTAGAAAGCCTCTTTGGGGTTCTGTGCTAATGCCCCTTCTCACAGGGATCAGGGCTGACGTCTGGAGTCAGCTCCTCTGCAGGATCACAGCTGGTCATACTTGGGACTCAAGCCAACACACCACATCAATGAAATGCTATGGTGTCTGGCTCCTTACAAGTGTCTATGGGGATCCTAAACCAAAAAGGAAAGTCCCTGTATAGCTTTCCTTATGGGTGGCACAAACAGTTAAGAGCTCGACTACAAGATGAAAGGTTGGCGGTTCTAACCCACCCAGAGGTGCCTTGGAAGAAAGTCCAGGTGATCTGCTTCCCAAAGGTCACAGCCTTGAAAACCCTATGGGGCAGTTCTACTCTGCACACATGGGGTCGCCATGAGTCACAGTTGACTTGACAGCAATTAACAACAAAGTATGAAAAAGGTTGAAGGACATTTTAATGATCAATCAGCGGGAAGCTGCAACAGTGGGCTCAAACGTAACAAGGGCTGTGAGGATGGCGCCGGACCCGGCAGTTGCCTTTTGTTGCTCACAGGGTTGCTGTGAGTCAGAACCAACTCGACGGTACCTAACAACAACAACAGTGGGAAGTCCAGAAGTTGTATAGAACCCAGCAGTTTCAACTTCTACCGGAAAGATGAAGTTGGGAGTAGAGTTACAAAGGCCCAGGTACCTCCATGAAGTTTGAAGGTATGTAGAAAAGGCTTAGTTTAGAAGCTGGTAGGAGGACTGGCATGCACGTTTAGGAAATATTCACGGCACACCTACTACAAAGTAGTGTGAGACAGACCACTCTGTTCAGCCCTTCACTCTGCAGATATGCACCTGAGATCGGGAATAATGAAGTCACTGAGCCATCTCACTGGGGAGGGCGCCTGCATTAGAAGGCAGACTGCTGTATTAAGGGCATTCTCTGACACTGTCATCTCTTTTTTAAAAGCTTTACTCAACATTCCTGTAACACAAATCACCTTTCAATATTAGTTAATAGTTTACTGGAAAAAGATTTTCCTTTGCTAGCTACTTCTGTAATATGTCTCCTCATAATTATTCACTTGGTCGGTATCAGCATTCAAACATTTATCATGGCCCTGCAGTAAAAAACATCTGTGCTAGTTAGGGAATCAGATCAAAGCTGAAACTCTGGACCAGTCCTTAGGCCTTACAATTTTTGTTTCCCTCCAAACATTCCTTCTTACACTAAATGTCAAAAATGGTAAGACAATAAACCTTACCAAATTTATCTATAGCTTTTATTTTTGACAGGCTGCCTAATGCACAGGACTCTATCGGAATTTCAGCAAGAAAAATTATCTAACAAGAAAATGAGCAACCCTTCCCCTAGATCCATTAGCTAGAGTCTGCGAATGCCTGCGAGTCTGAGGGAAAGCTACGATGAATGTCTTCCGCTTGGCAAGTAACTGTGCTTCGCCCTGGTTCTTCACCGAGGCAGTAAGAGACTACTTTCCCTCTAAGAGTGAGCCACTGTACCGACATTTCAAACTCAATCTGAAATGAATGAGCCGCCCGGCCGCGGGGGGAGTGAGCGGCCGCGAGGAGCAAGGTGCTCAG